TCGAAACATTCGATTCCGAGTACAACCACACCCACTTAACTACAATAATAGTTAATAAACTACCAGTTAATTTTAAAATTAAAATGTAAATATTTTTTATTAAAAAAAATGAACACCCAGAATAGTAAATAATGCTTCTCCGGCTGCTCTCTGGACTTTCTTGATCTTTCTGGATGGTTGCTTGAATCTTTGAGATGGTGAAAAATTAAAGAAATGAACAATGAAGCTTGCTTTTAGTGTTTCTGGTCAACTCTAGTAGCAGTAACCAGCTGGAAGCACCTCTGGACTTTGACTTTATCCGGTACTCGGAATCGTACTCGATACCATCAATACTCAGAGAAAAAGTACTCGGAATCGAACCGAATTCGTTTTTTCAGGTATCGAACATCACTACAGTTCAGTTTGGGACGGAAGTGGAAGCAGCTGCGTGGAATTTGAAAAATGTAGTATGTCACAAATGACGTATTTTAATGATATTCATAGAAGAATGGCGGCTGTGTTGTTTCACTCTTAAAACAGTCTTGCTGTTGCTGGCGGCTGTGTTGTTTCACTCTTAAAACAGTCTTGCTGTTGCTGATAAGCAGTACAACAGCTACTGGAGTCAACTAGTCTTCATAAAGGTCATCATTATCAGAAGATCTTGCTCTGTTAGCTTTTTAAAACAAGAATTATCAGTTTGGGCGCTCGACCACATGTGCTTATGTAAACTATGACTTAGATAAACTGTCATAAAACGTCATTTTGGTATGCCATTGGGTTTATAGGGAGAACCCGGTTCTCAGGGTTCCCAAGAGCTGAGAGACCCAAGATTTCACAGATTTTGATGGACTTTGGCGACTAAGAACCTTTGAAAGTTTCATCCTTATCGCACATTCCTATAAAAAGTTATTCCAGTTTTTCTTGTCCCAAACTCAACTGGGATATAGTATACACATGTCTAAATTTAGTAGATATTGTTGCAGTAATCTTGCTTAAATTAAAGTTATCTTGCTTATAATTAGAAGCAGTCACTGAACAAATCATATTTGAAGATTGTATATCTGCTTTGTTAACCTAGGCTTGGTGGTAGAGAAAAAACATCATCTAGAATAAATCTCATCATGCATGCAGCTAGCTACAGTATATACATGCAGCTTTCTCACTTGCATTCAACTTATCAGAGTCCTTTATATCAAGGAAAAAGATTGTATATCTGCTTTCCCGACCTTTATTTTTTCTAGAGAAGTTTTTAGACAGCAATTTAGTCTTATCTTGCTGACCGTTTGTTGGAAAATAAGCTCAGAGTTGCTGATAGCGGCCATTTTATTCATTGTGACCACACCCGCATTCAATGAAAATTAGTCTATTTAACTTTAATAATAGTTAGATGATCCTACTGCCCGTACAGACAGACAGACAGACAGACAGACATTTTCTCGCCTTAGTGGGACGAGCTCAGGCTCGCTTCAATAACAATGAGCTCAATCACTGGCTTTCCAAGTTTATAGTGAAGGTTAGAAAGAAAGATGGGTCATGTTACAATAGTGGGCCTTTCAATAGTATTTGTTCCAGCATTCAACGGTATATTCACAAAAACCGTTTGCTATCAAGAAACAATGAAACCCTTGACATGTATAAAGATCAACAGTTCGCTTTGTTTCGAAGCACATATTATTCGGTTCTTAGAGATCAGCACTCAAAGGGAGTAGGAGCTGCTAAAAAGCAAGCTGAAGTCATTACTTTTGATCTAGAGGAAGAGCTTTGGTCACATGGAGTCCTTGGCAATTCAGATCCTTATAAATTGTTGGATACACTAGTTTTATTGCTTGGAGTTAATTTTGCTTTACGTAGTGGTAAAGAGCACTGGAGCTTCAGACCTGATATGATTGAATTTATTGAAAAGGAAGACGAGTCATCCTATTTGCAATATATCGAACCAGGATCGAAAAACAATCCTGGAGGTCTTAATGAGCGAAAATTGAAAAATAAATCTGTAAAGGCTTCTCAAAATTTAGAAAATCCTTCTCGATGCATAGTGAAACTACAAGAAGTATATGGAATTAAGACCACCATCAGCACCAAATGACGTCTTTTGCTTACAACCATTGCAGAAACCAACTCCTGCATGCTGGTATCAAACTAGGCCTCTCGGACACATTGCACTAAGCAAAACTGATCAGAAGCTGACTGAGAAAGTAGGAGTTGAAGGGCATTATATAAACCATTTGTTAAGGAAAACCTGTGTCATGAGATTGTTTCATGAAGGAGTAGAAGAAGATAAAATTATGTCTATTACAGGCCATAGAAGTGCTGGAGGTGTATGGGCTTACAAGGAGCTCAGTCACAGCCAACAACTAGATCTTAGTAATAAAATACAGAAGAGACAGACAGAGACAATTGTCAGAGCAAGCAGCTACAACTGAGTAGGAAAAGTCTCAGATGAAAAAAGACAAAGAATTGAGGAAAGTCAAAATAGGCAGTGAGCACAATTTGAGTAATTGTGTTTTTAATATCAATTATAACTGATTGCTTGATAAACTATTCTCACTTGCATCATTTATTCTCACTTCCATCATTTATTCACATTTAATTCATATAAACCATTCATGTTCAAATTATGGCTTCCCTCTCCCAGGATTTACAAAATTATAAAACCTCATTAGTCAGTTGTACCAAGGATTAATTACACGCATCATTTATCGAAAACAAGGTTTGTCCACTCAGTATATAGGCAACATCTCCTTAGCCAGAAAGGTAGCTATTGACTCTGTTATCATCTTATGCTCTTTCGATACGTGGCTATATTTCTTAATCTGCTGTATAGACTCTTTTATAGTTAACTGGCAACTGCTTTTAGATACATGTAGCTTCTTGTTTCTAGGATATTTAGTACAGGTAGATTGAGTTTTACTGAGGCTGCTGTACTCCTTAAGGTGAAATGTTCTTAAATGAGTAAACAAGTTGCTGCTGTTTTCCCACTTGGCAACAATAGTCTGTAGACATACACATGTATCTTGCAATTAGGACTGTCAAATTCAGTTGGCTGACTGTTTTCATCTAGAACGAATCCAAAGTACATGTACTTCCACGCATCTGACTTGGTGTTCTTCTTCTGAACCAAGTTTCTCAAAGCTAATGAAGGGCTAGAAATAGTACTAAGAACACTAGAGCCATCTGTTTCACAGTCAACTTCAGATTTGTAAGTCAAGGATCATGACAGCTTTCCATTTGGTCCATTACTGCTTCGGCCATTTTTAGTATTTTACAGCATATGTGCTTTATAAAATTTTGTATTAGAAAATTTAAAATGAGAGCACCTTAGTGCAGACTCTCGCCACAACTATTATGTAGGTTGAGCAAATTGTACTTTTAATTTAATAAACTGCCTAAATGTAAAGGATTCAAAATGTGCATAGTATAGCTAAAGGTGTCACTGCAATGAAGGTGTGGCTCAATCAAGCCATGCCCGAGCGCTCCACCACATACACAGTAACAGCAGCACAGAGACTAAGTGGTGGGAAAAACTTGAGTTTTTCTCCACTTCTGCATAGTTCAGCACACATTTACTAGGTTCTATTTGTTACATACAATCCTTCATTAAGTCCCTGATGTTTAATGACTCAGGCCACAACTAATAAAGAAGAGTGCCTTGTGTAAACTCACTAGGTTTGGGCAATGATATCTCAAAAAGGAAGAATATGCTACAATGATTTCTTACGTTAATTTTGAAGGGCAAGCTTTGGCCAATTTTTTAATGTGTTCTATCCTCAAATTGCTTCAAATATGAGGAAACGGTGCTAGGAGTACAATAAATAACTTTTTCCATGTAGAAACTCAATTATAAAGACCTTCCAGTACCCGAACAGAAGAGACACAGTAGTGAAATGTAATTTGCACAGACAGGACAACTGTTTTACCGTTGCGTCATACCAATGGAGTGGCTCGGGTAATTATTAAGGCATGTATCTTAACACACTAGGGTGTAAATGCAAAATATCACTAAACGCTACCTACTATAGCAGTCATTAATACATAATGTGGTCAAAAGTTTACTCTACCTAGACCACAAGTGTATATAGTGGGCTGAACCATGACTTTCATGGTATAAATCTTAGGCAGTTGCAATAAAATTACTTGGTTTACGGATCCGACCGACTCTAATTTTTGGAAAATTAAAATAAATTTAAATTTTCTAATGCGCATGCGCAGTACCATGTGGTGGGTGTGGCTAGTTTTAAAATGGCACTAAATGTATCTGTTACTATTAAAAGAGCAAGCTCCTCTATCTTACCTTCCACTGTATGTCAAACCTCTGTGACATCTACTTTTTGGGACTTGTTAGAGCAGGCTTTCACTTTAAATAAGCCTACTCCCACAGAAGTTGCTAGAGTATTTTGATCGTTTGTTTTGAAAAGTTGTGGGTAACTAACAATTATTAAAGTTAATCAATTTTAATGTTTATAATTTAATTTATTCCGACCAACGTGCTCTATTTTAGAGAAAATAAATCCGTAAAACAAGTAATTTAGTTTGAACTGCCTTAGGCAGGTGACAAATTTTAATGCATAATAAAGTTTAATTTTTTAAAATATAGAGGCATGGAGGGTTGCAAAGTGATCATCGTCATCATCCCCACCCTAGGGTGACACACATGCACACAAAGAAGCAGACATAACACTCATGTTGCTCATGTTGCTCATGTGGGGGTTGAACAAATTAATAAGTAAGGATGAATTAATAATAAGGGCAGGGTGCTATCCATTGCAAAATTAAAAATTATGAAAAAGTCCAGTAAGGCAATTTCAAAAGTTTACTTCCAGTGATATGGTATGCACATGTAAGTAGTGGCAATGTGGCATTGCGCATAAGCAAAATGGCACAAAATGGCAGGTTATAATCAGGCAAATGGCAAATGTGCCAAAACTTATTACCTCCAAAAGTACGAGCTAATGGAGCTATAGTGCTATATAATAAAATTTTCAAAAGCTGCACAGTTCAGATGATAGCATACATTGTATTACCTGAAATAGTTTGGTGAGACAGTTGATCAAATTGATATTTATCATTTGTGAACTTTTTGACATAATGAGACAACATGAAGAAAGTAACCACTGCAAAAAATCTAAAATTCAGAAAAAAGAGATTCATGAAGAGCACACACACACAGACATACACAGTACACTTAAATCCACAAAAATGTGGATATAGTCTGTTTCAGTTGAGTTTGACACATAAAACATGACAGTTAAAATTTTTCTGACAATCATTTTAGTGTAGTAAAATAGGGTTTTTGTATATCTCTGGTCAAACTATGACATCTTTAGGTACTACAGATTTCAGAAAGTTCTATTTCTGAGGTTTCATCAAAGGGAGCCAACATGATGTTTCATTGTGTGCATCTCAAAGAAAAGAAGTACAGTAGAAGAAAAAAGTTTTTGCTTTAGCACTGTAGAACAATGGTGCAACAAAACCATTTGTACTGTTTTTACAAAACTTAAATCAAAATTTAGGATGTGGTTATGCACAAGAGTAGGTGTGGTTTGTGAAAAATCATTTTTACTTTGTGTTGCTTTGTTCTCAGTCTATTTCAGCAAGTTTGCTCATTTATTAGTTGCTGCTGTATTGTAGTAGCCCCGTCATCTTCTGGTAAGAATAATATGCTATATACATGTATAACACTGTGTATTTTCGCTGTAGGTTGAAATTTTTACCCATATCAGAAATAAAGAAGAAAATTTATTGCGTGTGTTTGTTGTTGTTTATACAAATAAATAGTTTTGCTTTGACTACAAATCAGTTAATTCTGCCAATCTGTGATGCTCTTTAGTACTCCTATCCACTGATTTCTTTCCGCTTCAGAGGGTTGAGATTCGTTGCTAAACCTATGGAAAAAAAACAGTTAATGTTTATACAAGTTATCTTACGTTTGCCTATGGTTTCGTCTTTCGTGTAGCTCAGGTAGAAGAAACATGCCTTGAGTGAATCCTCAGTGAACCACTAAATCTCTTCTTCAACCAGTCAACCATGCTGCACCCATGTGTAATTTACTGTACATCGTTCTATTTCCGTATAAACGGCAATAAAACGGAAACCTTCCACTTTTAATCGTTTAAACGGTGCTGTAATGCAACACAGAGTAATGTAATTTAAGTCGTTTCGTTTCATTTCTGTAGAATGTGAACTTTTTTTGTCCTCTACTGTCAAAAGTTTTCTTAGGTTGGGTTTAAACAGCAATGCAAAACGCATTGTTTTTAAAATGATACAATGGTAAAACTTTTTTGTTCCATAGAGTTCTATTAAGTATCTATCACAGTTTTCATTCATTTCAGTGAAAACAGAAGCATATAACAGGCACAAAACTTTACCAATTGCACAGTTTGTGCAAACGCTCTAAAGGCCCACATACACCAGGCAACAAGTTGCTTACAAGACCAAAGTAACCACAAATGTTGCAAGTTTTGCCTAGTATATGGGGGCCTTTAAAAGCTGATTCACACTGCAAAAATAACGTAAGGTGAAGGCTACGTATATGTTACAACAGGAAGGGCTGTATAAACCAATGGCAACCATTTACATAAGGTAAGAATAGAAACAATCTCTATTTTTACCATAAGTAAACTGCAGCCATTGGTTTATACAGCACTTCCTGTCTTAACCTATAGCCTAATTACACATGTACCTACGCTTACTTTAATTTTGCAGTGTGAATTGGCCTTAAGTGTCTTCCCTTTGCACTACTCAGAAATTAAGCTGCAAGTTTGCATTTCTTGATTACTTTTCAAGTAATATTTAGTACTAATACTATGCACTACAAGTACATGTACATGAATGTAGAGGTAGTAGCAACTACAGCACAAAGGAGTTAGAGTAAGAAAAAGCAGTTTAAGTCATTTACTAGCATTTGGGTGGGGCAGCACATGATTATTGTGAAAGATAAAAGGTTCATGTAAAACTCAACTGAAAATCAGAACTATACATAAATAAAACCTTATGCAAAGTAAACTTGTTACGCATGCATGGATAATAAAGCATCCATACTCAAGGAAAACTTTATTATCATACACACATGTACATGTACATGTATACACAGATATGGAAAATGAAACATTAATACTTTTCCTAGTAGAGTCAAATAAAAATAAAAGAAAGGCTTACCGCAATCAACATCATGATCTCCTTCAATGAAAGACTGTGGCCTTTGATCAATGCATTTATATATAAAATCAATTACAACAACACCATCCTCATCATGTCCTGAATCATCTACATGTAAAAGTATATAACCAATGTGAAAAAAATTAATATTAATGTTTGTTCAGAACAAGTATTAATGTACTAAATCTATTCCCATAATTTCAGAATGATTATTTATAACGAAAAGGCATGACAAATCCTAATTTTCCAGTTGAGTCAAGCAAATTTAGCTAATTCTACAAGTAAATAAAACATTAAAAATGGAAAAGCAGTAGGATTGAATTGAAAAAAAAGTTAAAAAACAAGAGGGTACTTGCAAATTGATGTGCAAAAAATTCTACACCACTGCATGAAGATAAAGCCTTCAAAGTGCCATCATGTAGCCCTCTCTGTGGCCTGGGAAAATGAGCAACAATTATTTGGATTAATTCTTCATGTGCAGTGGTGTAGGATTTTTTCCACACCGATTTGAAAGTACTTTCTTGTTTCTTTACTTATTTTTCAATTCAATCCTACTGCTTTTCTATTTTTAATGTGTTTCATTTACTTGGTTCCATTATTTTTTCTTAAATTAATATGACATTCTGCTATGGTTCTCTGGCTAGGTTAAATATTCGTGTGCATAAATGAAAATGGCACCAAACCACAAACCTATGCGGTGTCTGCAGCTGGATTTTGTCTTCCATTTTATTCTCTGTCTTTGTTTCTGTTTTAAACTACCCATGTGGTCTTTGACCCAAACCTTGTGGAGTGATGTAAAACCAACTTGAGGGCTTCTGTGGCTTAAAAGACTAGATAAGATGAAAGAAGAAAAAAGTCTGAAGAATTTTTCAGAAATCTGAATATACAGTAGGCCTATATCCAAAATTGCTCCGGCTACATTACAGTCCACTTTAAAGGTACCAGGAGAAACGTTCAGTAAAGGAGAGCTCATCTAAGTCATTTATAAGGCTGTACAACGTAATATAAAAGAGTTATAAGTGTTCGAAAATCATAAAAACGGCCGCCATCTTGAAAAACCAACTTCAATCCTATATAGCTATAGCCTATATAATACTGGTAGATTAATCTCACTTTGGAAAAAAACTATTGTATATGTATGCAATCACTATTAAAAAGACTCACAAACCTTTGAAAGGCAATTCAATGTATCCCATCACCACACGGTATATCTGTTTTCTGAGATTCATATCTGCTGATCCTGTTACATCTTCAGGTAACAGAGCTCGAGAATCAGCTTGAACCTTGGATTCAACTTCTGACATCTTCAGCCAGTCTCGAGGCCAGTCTGGATCTCGGTCTGGAGAGTGGGGACAACAGTCACAACACGTGTGTACCGTGTTTTGGATAGTTTACGGAGATGAAACCAAAGCAAATCGACGTAGTCGTAGAGTGACGTAGGCTAGTATACTGTAGTATACAGTGGGGCTGGTCTCTTAAAAAATGGCCGTTGTTTTAGAGGACGATCCCGCTCCTCCAGTGTCTGAACGCGTACAGGTAAGAACCAATCAAATGAAATATATTTCATAATAATCTGCCATTAGTTCTTGGCTAAAAGTATTTATGACGAACTCGAAAGTCTGATAGGTGAACATGGCCCTGATAGTATCGGGAACCTAATGCCATTGGTAGTCAATATACTAGAAAACTTAGATTCAGCTCTTTCTGATAATCAAGTAAGTCAGTAAGCACAGTGAATATTGCATTTGTACCTAACCTTGTTAATTTATTGGCAGTGGCTATATTTACAGCTCCTTAATCCCACCTTAGGTGGCTGTTTAAAACCTAAGACACTCTGAAATTAAAAACCAAACCCTAAACCAACCTTTGGAATACCTGGCATAACTAGGAGACTAATATAGAATGACTAGAAGACTAACTATAACCCTAAATGCTAATCCATATACCCTAAAATAATAGCTAACTAGGGGACTCATAAGTCATAACATAATTAGGGGACATAGCTAAGTAAAAAAGGTAAGAAATTCAATTTTTAAAAGTAAGAAATAAAGTGAATTACGCTTGTGTTGCCGTGTAAACACAGCCTAAAATAGCCACCATAAAATTTGTTTCTTTAGGTCAGTCCCTAGCAACTTATTTCCTTTTCCTGTTAATTAAAACAGAATGAGCTAGCCATTTGCCAGCTGAAATCAGTTTACTATCCACTTGACTTGTCTCAATACATCCACCATAGTGTACAAAATTGTTATGCTTTTAGTAGCCTCTGTCTCCTTTTGTTCTTCCTTGTAATTATGTATCTTAAAAGTTGGTACTGTATAGGGGTTTTATTTTATTGGTATAAAATTTCGCGAATTTGTTCAGATTTGCCATTTGTTGGTATAAATTTTCACGAATCTTACCTTCTGTAGCCATTTTTACTTGTGTGCCACACCTCTTTTGTGGAATTTAATTTCGCGAATTTAATGAAAACGTGAAATTCACGAAATTTATTACCAGTGAAATATAACCCCTATATGGTAATATACGTACATGTACGAGTTGATCTTATGGCTACTACATGTACACCTGCATGTTCTGTAGCTTACTTTCAAGTGCCAATCAAATTAATGACAAAGCCTGAACTTACATTCGAATGTTAAGACACTGTGTTTACTCTGAATATTGGTTTATTTGATCAGATTTTATTTATGAAATAGCCTGACAAGATTAATTGAATTATATGTTAAATTGCGTTTAATGATTATTAATTAAAATTGGTATCCTTAATATAAAAGTCATGTTGTTTAGACTAAGTTGGAGAACAACACAGAATATAATGAGAGAATTAAACAAAATGGTCAGAATTACATGTATGTCTGATGTTCAATTGTTATTTTAAGCATGCATTTTTGCTAATTTTTTTTGCGATATTAAGTTTTTAAAGACAGAATAATACAGTAGTTTAATATAGTAGTTTAGTGTGATGTTGCTGACCGTTTACTGCAAGTGAGCATCACAGACTTGCTGATAGCCACCATTTTATTTCATTGTGACCACACCTGCTTTCATTGAAAATTAGGCTATTTAAGATTAATAGTTGTTAGATGACCTGCCCATACAGACAGGCTTTTTCTCATCTTAGTCGGCTTCATCCAATTAAGTTTATGTTCTGGGTAGGATTTTTTATTGTACACCAGTTAGCAAGTACCCTCATGTTTTTTGTTATTCCCCGATTCAATCCTACTACTTTTCCTTTTTGTCTTTACTTTTATTATGCTTTTTAAAAAATTTATAAATGTACATTTTGTGATACATTGTAGATGTACATGTGTACATGTACAGCATCCTTTAGTGGTTGGACTAACTGTATTGATGCTGATCGTGTGCACATAAATTGAAATATCATTACACTTCGGTGTCTGCAGCTGAATTCTGTCTTTCATTTTTGGTCTTCCTCTTTAAAAAAAACTCACTTTGTGAAACCCATTAGATTTATTGGCTAATTGAAGAAGATGAAAGAAAGAAGAGGGAAATGTGGGAAGAATTTTGCAGAAATTTGAATTTTTTGAGCCACCTCAATCCTACATGTACATGTACAATACATAAAGGATAGCCTTTATACATTGTACATGTACAATGTATGTCCTTGTAATATTTCCATTTCGAAAGTTCATTATGTTGTATACTTCTATGTACAAAACGCTGCATGTGCATGTGCAAGTATACATACATTTAATTTTCTTTTTAGGGTAACTG